AAAAACTTCCCTCTCGGCTCAGGGAGAAGACTCTTTAGGAAACTCTTATGAGACTCAATGGAATGCTGTGAACATAAGAGCTAAGCCTGTGATGTACAAAAGGTATTATGCATTACAAGGGAAAATGCTCCCTCTAGTTTCAGTTTCATCACTTATTTCTAGCATTCCAATGAAAAGAATGGGGCTCCTGAAATACTCCTTGATCTCACAATTTTTCTCACCAAAATTCTCCATCTAATATCTTCTTTCTTGTTCTGTTTTCTTCTCCTCTGCCTACCATGAAACGTTGTTGTAGATTTCCAAAGCTTTGCCTCTCTCTTTCTTGGCTTCTTGTGTTTGGTGGATTGTACAGTTAAAAGAGAGATAAAATGAAAAGATTGATGAGAAATGAAATGAAAGAACGTGTTTTGGGTTCTCCGGCAGAGGTTGGCTTCTTCGCCGTTGGCGTGAGGCCCACCATGAACAAACTAAAACATTCCTTTCGACTTGTAGATTGAGCTCATTGGAGATGAAATTTGAATCTTAATGCCTATTCAGTAGTTATCAATGCCACATTATTGTCATCTAACTGAGTTACTTTTTGTGAAAAAATAAGAAAATTTGTTAATTACTTAAATCAATCAAGAGGAAATTTTAATAAAAGTTAGATCATTCTCGATTATGTCGTCTAGAACCAGAGTTGGAACTTGAATCGATCGATTCTTGGTTCTAAAAATCAGAATCATTTGAAAACATTCTAAAAATTGAACCTAACATGTTTGAATCTAATGGTTCTAGTTCTTTTGCTCATCACAACTCAAAAATCAATCCTGAGAATCCACATCAATCCCAATATGCCAACTCAACCATTTCAAGCATGCTCACACGTTATCAGCATACTTCACATGAATATTTCAGAATCTACTTAAACGCGAGATCTCCAACTCTAATATCAAACTTGATATACGGCACTGTCATCACTTTGTACCAAAACTATAATCAATGATTCAAATGCAATCCACCTTATATATGTCTTAGAATAATCTCAGGAATCCACCCCAATCCCTCGAACCTACCCACTTCAAGCACACTCCAATATTAGCCTATGAAAAAGATAGGAAGCAAGAAATGTGTCTTGATTGAATAAATTCTTTTATGTTGCAAAATAGAAAATGGGAAAATGCTGAGTATGACATGTTTGAATTTATTTGTTTGTTGTTCAAAATCAAGAAAAGAAAAGAAAAAAGAAAAAAAGAGGGGCTTAACCATGCGACCACATGGATTAAGCCCATGCGGTCGCATGAGGCCCTCCCAAGAATGGGAGTGCTGGCGAAGCTATAACCATGTGACTACATGGCTATAGCCCATGCGGTCGCATGGTTATCAAAAAACTACCATTTCTTTTATTTGAAATTTGTGATTTTTCATCCTTATTTTGCACCATTTCGTGAAAAACTTGTCAAAACCTATAAATAGGTGATCCAAGTACAAGAAAGATATATTGAATTCCATTGAAATTTACCTCTAAAATTATTCTTCCAAACATTAAGGAAATTATCACATAATCATCTCAATTTTCACTTGTTCATTGTGAAGATACACATTTGCTTTTTGGTGTTCTTCTTATCAAAGATTGTTTAATCCTACAAATTATTTGCCGAAAATCCTTAAAAAACATTAGAAAGGAGGCAAATAACGTTTGAGAACAACGAGATGAATTTCGTGTTCAAGCCTTCATTGATATATTATTTTATATTCTTCTTCTCCATTGCTATTATTTTTTCAACATTCTCAAACGTTATTTTAATTACTATTATTGCAATGGGGACGGAATCTACACTTGCTACTATCAAAATGATTAATCAAGACCTGGTACTCTTGGACAGATACGATTGTGCAAATTTCACAAGATGACAAGACAAACTTAAATTTTTATTAATAGCCTTGAAAATTTTCTATATGCTTGATCCAAAATTGGATCCCATTTCCGATGCAATTGACAAGGATACCGAAAAATTCTTGTAGAAAGGAAGAAACGGGAAGAGGACGAATTGATATGTCGTGGCCATATCCTAAATGCATTATCCGATCGCCTCTATGATCTCTACACCAACATTACATCGGCAAAAGAAATCTAGTACACGCTAGAGAGCAAATACAAAGTCGAGGAGGTACCAAAAAGTTCTTAATATCTAAGTATTTTGATTTCAAATTTTTGGATAATATACCATTATTGCTTCAAGTACATAAGTTATAAATAATTGTAAACAAACTGAAAGCAGTGAAAATCAAACTTCCCGAAACTTTTCGAGTGAGAGCAATTATTGCAAAATTTCCCAGTTCTTGGAAATGATATAAGAAGAAGATTCTTCACAATTTCGAAGACTTTTCTTTGGAAGATATACAAAAATATCTTCGCATTGAGGAAGAATCAAGGGCAAGAGATAAGATTGAAAATTCTTATAATGACTCTTCAAAGGCCAATGCCGTGGACAATGTGGACAACTCCAACAAATTTAAAAAGAAAGGAAAATTTCTTAGTCCTAGAAAGGATTATAAAAGTTAAAAAAAAAAAGCCAAATGACCTTGCTATGTTTGTGGAAAATCGGGACACTATGCCAAGGATTGTAGACATAGGAAACAATAAAAGAAGGAAGGACAAGTGAACTCCGTTGATGAAATTATCGTCATGGTAAGTGAAATCAATGCAATCCAAGGCAAAGTTCCGAGCTGGTGGCACGATACATGCGCTACAATTCATGTATGTTATGATAAATCTATTTTCAAAACTTATCATAACATTAAAGACAATCAAGATATACAAATGGGAAATGAAGAAAGATCAAAAGTGATTGGCAAAGAAAATGTGAAGCTCATTTTCTCTTCAGAAAAGAATATCACTTTGACAAATGTCTTGCATGTACCGAAAATGAATAGAAACTTAGCAAGTAGTGTACTCTTGGAAAAACCTGGAATTAAACCTGTTTTTAAATCTGGAAGGCTTATATTAACCCATAATAGGCACTTTGTTGGAAAGGGCTATTCCACCAAAGGAATGGTCAAACTATGTACTACTGAGGATAACTCAAATAAAATTAAATCTTTTGCGTATGTTATCGATTCATTTAATTTATGGCATGGTAGATTAGCACATATAGGAGTTAATGCTATGAAAAGAATGATTAAATGTGGATTAATACAATGTGATATTGACAACTTAAAAAAATGTGAAACATGTGTTAAATAAAAAATGATTAAAAAGTCATTTCATAGCGTAGTAAGAACAATAAGATTACTTGAACTTGTTCATTCCGACATATATGAATTGAATGAAATGTTAACTAGAGGCGGTAATAAATATCTTATTACTTTTATTGATGATTGTTCTAGATGTACCTGTGTGTACTTATTAAAACATAAGGATGAAGCCTTTAGTGCCTTTAAAACTTATAAGATTGAAGTTGAAAATCAATTAGGAAGAAAATTAAAGACTTTAAGAAGTGATAGAGGTGAGAAATATTTTTCTACTGAATTAAACATGTTTTGTGAACAAAATGGAATAATACATTAAGCTTCTGCATCTAGAACATCGGAACAAAATGGATTAGTAGAAAGAAAAAATAGAACTCTTTTAAAAACGATAAATGCAATGTTGTTAAATTATGAATTACCCTTTAACCTATGAGGTGAAGCCTTACTTAGTGTTTGTCATATAATAAATATGATTCCTATAAAAAAGAATAAGATTTTCTCCATATGAAATTTGGAAAAATAGAAAACCAAATATTAATTATTTTAAAGTGTGGGGGTGCCTTGCCCATTGTAAGAATATGGATCCTAAGAGAACCAAGTTAGGTTCTAGAGGTATTAAATATGTTTTTGTGGGTTATGCTCTCAATAGCAAAGCCTATAGATTATTAAATCTAGAAACGGATGTCATAATAGAATCAAGACATGTGGAATTTTTCGAGAATGTAATGGTAGCTAAGAAATTTGAAAATAATAATAATGATATTTTAATCTTTAGAAACTCACCAGAAGAGACATCCATAAAAGATGTTGAAATTGAACCTCGAAAAAGTAAAAGAACTAGAAAAGAAAAGAACTTATGACCAGATGAAATAGATCCCCAACTTATTTCTTTTTACTTAAAAAGCATTGGAAATGTTTGAGGACAATGAGATTAATTTCGTGTTCAAACCTTCATTGATATATTCTTTTATATTCTACTTTTCCATTGCTATTATTTTTTCAACATGGCATGGAGTCCAGAAGAGAGAAAAAGCTAGCCGATAGGAGATGATGTTTGTAAAAGGTGGATGTAACAATCAGTTAAGATGTGAAATAAAGAATTGAGGATGTTACTGAAATAGTGATATATATTAATAGAAATTTATTGTAATTCTTGACTAGAACACACTGCTTATTACAAGTACACTTATATAATCACTAACTTTTTTTCCTAGATAAGTTCTAGTTTGCATGGCCATTTTTCATATTTTCTTTTCTTATTTTTAGTTCAAATGCATGCAAAGCACCTTTGTGTTGTAAGATTGTCTGGTTCCAATAATCCAAGCAAAGGTGAGCTGCTTAACTTGCGAAGGAAAATGTAATATCCCAACTTTTCCAATCAAAAACAGGTTTAGTAACTTTTATAAGTAACATGTTTGTTTAGCGATATGAGAATTTATTTGAGTAATGTTATTTGCAGTCACTCAATGTCGTAGTCACTCTATGTAGTATATATGTGACGATTAGTAATTTGATACGTTAATGTAATAGTTTTTTTATTACTCTATGCAACAAATCACTAATCGTTACATGTATGTCATTGCGATAATAAACGATTGCAAATAGCATTATTCAATTTATTTACTTCAATCGGAATGGTAAAATAATTATGTTTACTTCTTCTTCTTCACAAAATCAATCTCTCAACATGTGGACAAAAATGATTTAAGTGTTTATAAACATGAAACTTGTGCTTTAGCAATTGATCCTATCGTTGATCTTAATCAAAATGGTCAATAAAAGGTTCAAGATTTGCAATTTGATTTTTGAAATTTGAAACTCTAATTCAGATTCTCAATTTCAAGAAAAATCCTAGTTTTAGAGCGAGGTTGTCCCCTCGTGTTGTCTTGATTTTTTACACTGGACGAAAAGCGAACACCCAAAGAATAATCGAAATGAATTTGGCTCCTTGTTGGAAAAACTTTCCTCTCGGCTCAGGGAGAAGACTGTTTAGGAAAGTCTTATGAGACTCAATGGAATGCTGTGAACATAAGAGCTAAGCTTGAGATGTACAAAAGGTATTAATTATGCATTACAAGGGAAAATGCTCCCTCTAGTTTCAATTTCATCACTTATTTCTAGCATTCCAATGAAAAGAATGGGGCTCCTGCAATACTCCTTGATCTCACAATTTTTCTCACCAAAATTCTCCATCTAATATCTTCTTTCTTGTTCTGTTTTCTTCTCCTCTGCCTAAAATTCCTGTAGTAGCAGAATAACATTGGTAAGCATACTGAACGTGGGAAAGAACGCGAAATGAAAATTGAGAACGAGGTTAAAGAAACACGAACCTGCACAAAGGAACCTTACAAAGGTCGGAATCAGCACAAAGACGAGAGTGCAATTCTAAGATCTGCCACATTCTCTTGCAATGGATGCAGCCACCTGGACCTCTCAACTTACACTGAGCAAAGTGGCGAATAAGCATTTCTAGGCCTTTACAAGCTTCATACTTACAAGGTGCCTGATCGTCTCTTAATATTTTGTCGTGTGGGCCAATAGTTCGACAACCGTCTCTACAAATATGAACAAGAGCTTCCATTGCCTCGTATAGTTGTAAATAAGTTTTTCTCTCGTTGATCTTCCTTGACCTCTCTTTTTTCGCCTGAACAAATAAAAATCAACATGCACTTCAGATCAAAAACAGAGAAATCACAGAATTACTGATTTTAGGTATTCAAAAAGTCATAAAATACTCACAACATCCTCATAAATAACAGACTCAATAATTTCTTTTTCCAGTTTTGGGTGGCTCTTTTTCATTATTTTCCATCCTTCAGAGGCAGAAACTGGTTTGAAATTTCTCAGGATGAAACGGTGGCAAATGAAGCTAAGCCGAGGAGCATCACAAAGCAATGCCAGCTGAAAGATATCGATTACATTCTCCGTATTCATCAATTCCTGCTCTAGCCACAACTCACACAGTCGCTTCAACCGAGGAACCACATATACATGTGACAACACCAGTAAAGGAAGTGCGAATTCCTCAATTTTTTCTTCTTCGTAGCTATAAAAGCATAACTCGCAATTAGTGAAGTGCAGAGTGAAGCCAATCTAAATGCAAAATACCACGAATATAATCTATTGGGATATTACTCTGATAATCAATTGGCAGATTAAAAAATCCGAAATAAACATTGCATAGGATAAAAATGATTACCAGGAAGAATATAAGAATCGAATGAAGACTCGAACAGCCTCGGGTGGAACACCACGAATTGAGATTGCTTGCTTACGATTACGCCTATGGCCTCTCGATTGCTTTAGCATACCTTTCAATACAGGAGAAGCTGCACCCTGTTTGTAGAAAGCCAGGAAATGAACATAAGTAACTTTACGATAGAGACATAATTCTCATTTACCAAATTAAAATAGCAAACAGCAGTCGCGACCACGCATCATATGGAGTTTGAGCTCATATTTAGTCATTCTATTCGTCACGAAAATCACTACCGGCCTATGTACAAGAACTATCTTTAAAGAGAAAAACGAGGAACAACTTACAAGAATACTAGCATGTGCATAGATGACGTTGTCGTAATCCATTAAGATTGAGACATCTGCTCGATAACCTTCGTCAAAGAGGCAGTCCAACGAATGATTCATAGTAATAGAGGCAGAGAAGCATGATTTAATCTTCGATTTAGTTGGCGTAAAGCCTTTTTGAGTCGGCAATGGAGGTGGAAGAGGAAATGCCATTCTATTCTGTAAATAATCAGAACATCATGTCAGCTAAATATTAAAGATTTCAGTGCATAGTTGCTCTTGAATTTTGTATTATCCTCCTCCCTAATTCTATTTAAAATTTCAATAATTCGGACAACAATACGAGAGAGTTCAGAGAATTACCAAAAATAAACACACTTTTATCCAACACACAGAAGCTTTATGGTTTCTACTCAATAAGTTTTAGAATTCATTTTCCATGATAAAAACAATAAATTTGATTCGACTTCGTCGGAACATGCGTTTGATAACCTATGAATCGTTTTTCCGAAACAAGGAAAACGACGATCGGATAAATGTCGGAAAAGAGGTTGTATTGACAACATATAAATATTTCATCGCAAATTTGAACAATGGAATCAGGAACGTAAGATCAAATATTATAACATAAGAAATGTTTTCCCAAAATCACCTTTAATTAAGGTTTTAGCTTTCATCTTCTTATTTATTTTGTGACTGTTACACAAAATGAAATTAGACATTTTCTGAAAATCCCATTAAAAAAGAAATATCTCAATACCTCGAATTTTTGCAGAAGGAACCACAGAACTATAATTTCGATATGCAAATCTTATTTTATTTTTCAGATTTCCACTCGGATCTCTTCGCTCGCTAACTCAATTTTCTACAATCTGAAATATGTATAAAATGCACGACAATTAAACCCAAAATTTTCCGAGCAATCTCCAAAAAGTTATCCCAAATGTCAAAGATTTTCTTGTAGCAATGAGATAGTTGGCTTTTTTAGGCCAGAGAGAGAGAGAAAGAGAGGAGATAAGAAGCAGAGACTGATTGAGATTCTGAGAAGAGAGAGCTTGTGTATATATAGGTAATATTGACAGACGGATGCATTTGTGTAAAGAGATAAGGACAAGAATTTGATTTGATCAATTGTGGAAATGAGGTGGATCTTTGTCAGCTCCGACGCCAACATTGTTCAACTTGAACCTCAAAAACGTGCGAGCCGTTCGTTCACACCGATTCCAGTCAATTCATATTCATTATAAAAAAGAAAAATTGCAGCAACGATCTCTGCCTTTTCAATTTTTATATACTTTATCATAATCTTCAATTTATGTCAACAAAAGCTCCTAATTTTTCATAAATATGCAGTTGAGGTCCAATTAGATGAAAATAATTACAATATTTTGCAAAAAATTTGACATTTTGACCATTTTAAGTTGGGGCATTTTCGTCAATTCCATGACGACTTATATTTTACAATATAATTATAGTTATATAATAAGGGATAATTAAATCAAAATACAAAAGAAAGAAAAAATCAAACCAAAAGATTATCATCTTCACGTTACACCCACTCTCCAACCCCATCCCAAAATCGAACTCAGAAAACTCACCTCCGCTGGCAGGTCAACCGACCATAGCCACCTATCTCATCGTAAATCATAAATCGCCACCACCACAATCAAACCAAAACCATTACCATTAGCATTAAACCCAACGTTTCTATTTGGAAAAGTCACCCAACCATCAATCTGTTGGAATTTCTTCCCTAGCCGACGATCTCAATCCCACATACACATCCCATACAATTAATCAGACAAACAACGCTGCAAGAAGACCAAAATGAAATTGAAAACCAAAGGAGTCGCACAGCTTAACCCCTCAAATCACTACCTCTAGTCCGCCACACTGTCGATGGTCTCACCCACTCTATGCGAGCATATTCATGGTAAAACGTCATCAAGTCAAAAGATAGAGATGGGTTGAATTTTCAAGACTTTGAAATTTTTAGTGATGGGTTGGGTTTTCATGGGCTTCGATGGATAGGGAAATCAATCAACGTTTGATGATGGGATGGTGGAGGAAGGTGATGGTAATTTGGTGAAGAAGGCAATGACACGACGATTTGAGGGGAGAAATGTTTGATGATTGGATCATTGTATGGATTGGGGTGGGGGTGAGACAGATTTATTTATTTATTTATTATTTTTAGTTTAATTGTTGCTTTTAAATGAAATTGATAATTTAGTATGGATGAAAATGGTCAAAATATCAATTTTTTGCAAAATTTTGGTCAACTAATGGTCAAATTGATAGTTTTCCATATGGATGGTTTTTCATCCATTTAGACCTTAAATTTTGCAAAAATTGAAAAGATTAGGGACCATTGCTGCAAATTTTCCTTATTAAAATTGATCATTTACTAATATTTTATTCACGCGCGCGGCATTGAACTCAAATATTTAAAATACATAACTAAAAGCTATAATGCAGATTTATAATATGAAAAATGAATGTGAAGTCCATTCATTTGGCACATTGCGGATATGTAAGAAAAAGTTTTGAATGTGAGTGTAACATTATTTTATTAAAAACTATGTAGTTGAAATCATGTCAAATCACCATTTAAGAATTTATTTTTTTCAAATAATATGAATTCTTGACTTTTTTATTTTTTATTTTTTCCTTTCATTTTTCAGACACCACTTGCGCTCAGCCAGCTCAGGTGAGACCTTGGCCGACCCTACATAAAGTACAAGGGATAGGGATTTGCAAGGATACCAATATCAAATTAAGATTTACCATTTATAATAACAAAAAGTGTTATATTTCTTTGGTAATGTAAAATCGCATGTAAACGATTTTTGTTGTCATCCGCAACTTCTTAATAGTTCTACAAGTCTTCCATGCAATTCCTCTATGATTGAGACGATGAAGCCTAAAACATGAAAAACATTGCCATTCTGACAAAATTAAACTCAATTAAAAGATTCTTGACAGGCCTAATGTTGTGTTGCAGCTCCTGTAGAAGATCCTTAGCCATGAACTTTCTTTTTTTTTTTTTTTTACAAGGTGTCCGGGCTTGCGTCCGACTAGATCATTGTCCCTGAACCTCCGGCCCCTCAGCAGCTCAGGGAGGTAAATCGCAGGATGTGCCCTTGTTGGCTCCCAGGTTCCCACAACTCATTTGGACTCCTTCCGCAAAGAGAGCTCTCCTCGCTGGGCGTTTGTTCAACCAAATGGCTTCCCCTCCATTTTAGCACCCAGTGTTAACTCCAAGAATCGAACTCTCCACCCTTGCTTCCAGCGTCCCAGCGAAGTGATTGTTCCACCAACTCGGATGTGCCCTGGGGGGCTCTTAGCCATGAACTTGTTACTCCTTGAAGCCCATTGATAAGAGTTTTTGCACATTTATTTAGGTCACAAACATGATTGAATAACGAGCAAAATGATTGAATTGGAACTTAATCTTGTTACATGTGTAAATTGTATGGAACACCGATGAACATGGTGAAATTCAGGAGAAAAGATGTGAAAAATGACTAAAATGACGCAAAGTGAAAGTTCAGGGACCAAGGTGCAATAATCTAAAAGTTGACCCGATGAACAAATCGAGAAATTGATTAAGCCAAATGCCAATTGATGATATCTTGGGATGATGGAATGAAAAGAACGAAGAAAAGATTTTAAGAAGTGAAGGATTCAAGTAGAAGAACCAAAATGAACTTCCTCCATAGTTGGTAGCACTATACGGCTACCCTCTATGCCCCCGCATAGAGGCAAACTGAAAACAAAAGGGCACAAAACTTTTACTCTATGCGATTGCATAGAGATGCTATATGCAGTCGCATAGAGCATTTTTATGCTAAATCCGTAGTTTCCTTATTCAGTCGAAACTCAAAACAAAAGGGCACAAAACTTTTACTCTATGCGATTGCATAGAGATGCTATATGCAGTCGCATAGAGCATTTTTATGCTAAATCCGTAGTTTCCTTATTCAGTCGAAACTCAAAACAAAAGGGCACAAAACTTTTACTCTATGCGATTGCATAGAGATGCTATATGCAGTCGCATAGAGCATTTTTATGCTAAATCCGTAGTTTCCTTATTCAGTCGAAACTCTTATGAAAACAAACTTTTTAGGGTTCTATATAAACAAAAACTCAACCAGGACGAGGGGACGCTATTTTTACAAGTTTTTTAGAGATTTTGAAGGAGAAATGAAGAGAGAACAAGAGGAAAACATCACACCAAGTGAAGATTCGATTGAAACTCGAGTCGGGTAATGACGTTTCTTCAACTATTTTTGTATTTTCTTCTTTTTAGCATGTTAGGCTAGATTTTTCATTGCTAGGAGATCGATGAACCTTCTAATACTACATTTGATTTTTGATTTGGATATTTGACATATTTAAACGCATGTTCCGAAATTGAATGATTTATTACGTTTATATCTTCATATTATTATTATACACGTAATTATATGATTGTGGTGGCCTGTTTTATGCATTCGAAAGAAGAAAAATAGGTTCGACATAGTATAAATCATCATAGGGTCCGATAGGAGATAGAAATATACCTCCATGCCTTGTGTGAATTGTTGGATATTCATGAAATCATAACGCATTTCGGTATGTTAGTATTCGTTAGAGAGATATAGTCGAATCACATATTAGGGTAGGTTTGGCATTGCTCAAGAGAGATTACTAAATTAAATTAGGAATATTGATTCATCTTTTGTGGAACTATGTGTCAAATTTGCATGATTAAAAATTGAATGGGTATTGCTTGGGGATTCGTGATCCTAGTGCGTTAGTACATTCATTAATTCCATAAATTCTAGTAGATTGTGTCCAAGTCATTTTGTATTTAATATAAATCTCTCATCCATAATTGTATCATAGTTTATATCTTCATTAGTTTAATCACAATACATCAATTTTACTTTCATGTTTCGGTTAAGGTCATAATAGGTTGATTTGAACTAATTCAATCCTTGTGGGATCGATACTTGGACTCATAGTCCATTTTACTATGCGACCGCACAGTTTAGTACTATACGGCCGCATAGTAGACCTCGATCATGGTTTTAAACCATGACCGAGCCACTCTCCCTTATTTCCTCCTCTTCACATATCTCTCGCACCACCACATTCACACACACTTCCCACGCATATTATACGGTAATTCCTCCTAACATTGGTGTGATAAATCAATACCCCACACTTCCATTGAGAATTCAAGGTATTTTCTCATTCCTTTTTCTCTATGAATTCCTTTAAGTTTGGTTCGTGATGAACCAAGAGTTTTTTGAGCTTGATTACAGAGAATGGGCAATAGGTAGTTGATGGGTTGTGCATTTTGAGCTGGGTTGTGTTATGGATTGGTGACACATCACATTTTAGGTATTTTGTAAGGTTTACAATGAATAAATGTTACATGTTCGATAAAATGCCTAAGCGAGCTTTGTTGTGCAATAGGTGGAATTCCGCATTCAATACTCTGAATATGTACATTAACATACACATTGTGATCAAATGCCATAGAAATTGAGCTAGAAACATTTACTCACCAACCACGCACATGTAGGCATCCATGTTAGGTTCACATCATTTCACAGCACCCACTTCGTCCCTTTAATTGAGCACCTGTACGACATTCAACGGGCATGAAATTTGAATATGTGCCACTCCACACTACGTACTTTCATATGCCTGGAGATTGCTTAAAAAAAATTTGATTTTTCTCGATGATGTCTGGGGGTGAAAGTGCACACTTGATCATGGGTCACTTGACACAATTTGGATTTTTTGAGCTCAGCTTGTGTGTGTGTGTTGTTATTTTGCATTCCTTATACATTCTTGAGCATGTTTTCTTGATATTTGCATACTATCACATGCATAACACATGAAAGGCCATGTAACACATCACATCCATTTTGCAACACGAAGGCACATGGATAGGTCACGGCATGTCACGGCACCCTACGTCCCCTACTTTACACCATTATTTGACACAACAAAAGAAGTCCAATTGATTTGAAATTTGAGTATATGTCATTGAATACTTTCATATGCTCGAAGATTGCTCGGGGAGATTTTGACATTTTTCGATGATGTCCTAGGCCAAACATGCGCACTCGGTCATGGGTCCAATTTTTCAAATATGCATGTTTAGGCCTAATTTTCTTAGTTTTTCATATTGGCACACTATTTACACTATCTTGCATATCATGTTTTGACGAGTGCACACCAAAGAGTTCTATATATATGTTGAAGCAAGTTTGGGGGATTTGTATAATACATGTCTTGCTAATCTTATTCCCTTTCTCGTTTTTCAACATGAAGTTTATTTTTACACCTTCCAGGATGCCTCCAAAAAGAACATCAAAAGGAAAAGAGAAGGTTGGTTCCACATCTGGCACAGCTCGGACTAGGGAGTCCGAAGGGAGTGTCAGGCGATTTCTATATTCAGACAAAGCAGCCCGTTACGCTAATGTTGTCCGTAAGTGGGCACTCATCCCTGAAAGGCCAATTAAGTTGGATGACTTCCCCAGTTTTAAATCGGTTTATTTAATCCACAACTGTGGTTGGGAGAAAGTGATTGAAAGACCACACCCAGTATATGAAAATCTGGTGAATGAGTTCTATGCCAACTTCAATACGAAATAGACACGCCTAGATCCGATCATCTGCATCAAACATGGGTTCGGGGCAAATGGATTATGTTTTCACCTGAAGTAATTCATGACTACTATTAGCTAACCTGGAATAATGTAGTCCTAGTCCCGCATGATTCCAACTGGATTGAGGTTGCAGAAGTTTTATTGGGACGTGAAAATGCTTGGCCTCTCCCTACTGCAGATTGGTATCAGATTGACCTCACCCCTTCTATAGCCATCCTATGGTTGTTCATATGCCACAACATCGAGCCCATATCCCATAGGACGACATTCACAAATCAAAAGGTGGGGTTTATCTATCATTTAGTTTGGGGCAACAAGATTGACTTGGCCACTTACATCTACAACCAGATACACATTACAGGCGCATGGGGAGACAAGCACACCTCACTGATTTTCCCGAGCTTGATAAGTGGGATCTGTAGAGCTGTAGGCATACAAGTTCAGCCTGGGGAG